AGAGGGACGTGGGGCCCCCGTGCAGGGGCACCTACCTGCGAGGCGGAGGCGGAGGCTGCACTGGGCAGTGCCGTGGCGGTTGCTCACCTCACAGGCCAGCAGCCCCCCAGCCCCCCGGCCCACACGCAGCAGCCGCAGGCAGTGCTGGTCATCGTCTGGCATCATCATCTCGCACGTGCCCTCCAGTTCCCCCAGCACCTGCCCACCCCTGCAGGCACACCAGCTGTCACATCACAGCTCCACAGGCAGACCCACTGCCCCATTAACAGATCCTGCCCCACAGCTCCATGACCACCTCCTTACCCACAGTCAGCCCCAGTTCCCATCCCACAGCCCCCACAAAGCACTCACATCCTGTTGCTAGCTCTGCCTCCTCAATGGCTCTTGCCCCTTAATACCCCACAGTTAGCACCCCACAACCCACCCCACAGCTCTTCAGGGCCCTGGACATCCTTGTGTGCATACCCAGACCAGCCCCAGGGAAGGAGCCCCCCCCCCACACACACAGTGGGCTGCATGGAGAGGTGGAAGTCCTTCTGCATGCATCCTGTGGGGTGATGCTAGGCACGGGGCAGGCAACAAGGCACAGTGCCATGTCCTACCTCTTCCAGGTGACGGTGGCCTCCACATGGTTGATGGTGATGGTGATGGAGGCTGGCTGGCCTTCTACCACATATACCACATCTGGCTTGTCCAGGATGACTGGGGCCTCCTCCAGGTAAGGACCTGCCAAATGCATTTTCACCAACCTCTGCCCACTCCATGCCACCCAGCCCTGGGCAGCTTACCACCCAACAAGGGACAGAGACCTCTACCCCAGCTACCCATGCCCTTCCCACTGCCCTTCTCACCCCGGTCCAGGAGCTGCACGGGCCCCACAGGTGGGGAGGGCTTGCTGTTGGTCTTGGGAGTAGCAGTGATGACACGGAAGAGGTACTGGGCACCCTTGGTCAGCCTGTGCACTGTGTAGGTGGTGTCCTGCACACCGGTCACTAGCACCACCCACTGCATCGTGCCCAGCACTTGCATTTGCACCACGTAGGTCACTGAATTGGGGTCTGCAAGGGGAGAGGGTCAGTGCAGGGCCCCTGGCATGGAGCTACCCCATGCGCCCCATCATGGCATTGCCCACCCCCTGCCATCTTCCTGCCCATACCCTGCCTCCTCACCTATGGCAGCGTCCAGCCACTTGGGCTTGTTCCAGGTCAGCGTGATGGCTCTGCCGGTCACTGAGGCCACAGTGGGGGGCCCGTCTGGGGGGGTTGGCACCACATCTGCATGGGGAAGTGGGCAGGGATATAAACATTGCCACTGCCCCAGCTCACCAGGGCATCTGCCTCACACTCTGGAGATGCTAGCTGAGGGGATGGATGAGGCCAGCAATTCTTTCTGGTTTCCTGGTAGGGGCTCATCCTGCTAGCCCCTGTGGGACTGGCACTGCCAGCAAGCTCCATGCAGGACCTAGTGATGACCCAGGGATGGGTCCTGACCACACAAGATGAGAACTGCGCTGCTGTCCCCACTTTTAGGTTGGATTAGAGACCTGAGGTCCCCTCCAACCTAAACTATTCCCCTAGGACCTCATGACAATCCTGGGGCACAGCCTAGTGGTGGCTGTGAGTGGCCACACATCCCAGGTGGTGTCTGCTGCTGCTTACCGGTGACATAGAGGTGTGCATAGCACGTGGCCTTCCCCACTTTGTTGGCAATGACACTTTTGTAGACACCGGCATGCGCGTGGCTGACAGCCGTGAATACCAGACGATGGATGTCCTTATCTGGTGGAGAACAGGGGGACACAGGTAAGACCCTACCAGTTAAGCAGCACAGAGCTCCCCTTCCTACCTCATGGGGTGTAAAGGTCTGGGGGATAATGCCTCCTCCAAGGGTGTTCCCCCTTCTCCCACCCCATGTAGAGGGACCCCAGGGGGTGGGAAAGGCAACGAGGAGTCCTACATTGCATCATCTTGCGGTCATCAGTGCTGTCAATTCGGGAGCCATTGTGGTACCAGGTGATGGAGGGGTAGGGCATCCCGGCCACCTGGCACTCCAGCACAGCCTCCTTTGACTCCACCACGTCCAAGTTGTGCAGTGGTTTCAGGAAATCGGGCATGGTGAAGCACTCTGCCTCTGTCTCCACCTGCTCTGGCTCCTCTGGGATGGATGGCATCTTCTCCAGCTTAGAGCTGCAAGAGCCCACACATGCTCATGATGGGAGCATGGTGTGGTGCCCCCAGCCCAGCCCCGGCTCTAGGCTTTGCATAAGCCTGTTGTATACCAAGTCCCAGAGGGGAGCAAGCAGGGGGAAGCAGATTCCAGTGACCATCCAACTCTTACATCTGGGAGGCTGCAGACGGCCGTGGCTCCTCCACATAGAGCTCAGCAGAGCACTCCACATGGCCATGGGTGTTCCTGGCGGTTGCCTTGTACTGCCCTTCATCTTCACTGCCCACATGCACGATGACCAGTGAGTGCAGCCCTCCATCCTGCTGAATCCTCACGTTCTCCCCCTCCTGCACTGGCAGGCCTGTGCAGAGACACACACCAGCATCATCAGCAGCATCCTCTCCAGTCCCAGCCAGGTGTAGCCCCCAAGGAGATGAAGAGAGGTCTCCCTGTAGGGCCCTTGGCAAGCTCTCTGAGCTCGGGGATTACCAAAGTGAGTCCAGGTAACTGTGGGAGGAGGAGTGCCACTGATCATGCAGACAAAACGCGCTGTTCGCCCTTCCACCACATCCACATCCTCCAGCTTGCGGGTGAAGAGCGGCTGCACAGAGGGCTGCACCGTCAGCCGGGCGCTGCAGGTCAGCTCATCTGCGAGGAGAGCAGGCACTGGTGAGTCCCCACAGCACATGCCTGTGCAGGGCAGGAGGCAGCCTGTGACCCCCCAGCTGCAACCCAGCAACCAGTGTGGCTGTGGGTGAGCATACCCCATCCATGGTGGGGGCTGAGCTCAGGGGGTCCAGGCTCTGTCCTTGTGCAGGGCAGGGGGACACAAATGCATGCAGGGTCCCCATGCCCACGCCTGGGGCTCTGATGGCTGCAAGGACCTCTTTCCTCTCTGCACAGCAGTACAGGTGCCAGCAGGAAGGTTGGCTGGGAGGATGCCCTGTCCTCCCTATAGGGCAGGAGATCACAGCAGCGATGCTTAAGCAGGTAGTACCAGCATATGCAGCATCCAAGGAGCTGCATGGGGACTTGAGCAGGCTGTATGCTCCAGGTGAGGAGATTTCCAGTAGGGAACACTTTGCAATGACAGTGTTGTTACCCACCCTGGGTAAGGATGGGCAACACCATTCTGAGGCACACCCTCACCTCCCTGAGCCCCAAACTGCTTCTACCTTCAAAGCCCCACAGGCATAAAGCCTCCTTCATGGAGGATTGCACAGGAACAGCCGCAAGGTGCAGAGAATGCTGCTTCTCCCTGCAAAGCCCCCCCAGCCCTGCTGCCTAGGTGGGCAGGAGAGTGGACTCTGTGTAGGACAGAGCTGTGGGCAGCATGCCCAGGTACAGGTGTGTCAGAGCCATGGGACAGAGTCCCATGCAACTCTTGCTGTGCTGCCACCAGTGATGGTTTGGTGGGAGAGGTTGGGAAGCCTTCCTGCCCGTTTCCCCACCACCTCCCAAGCCAGCAGAGACACATCAGTACTGGAGCAGGTTGCCCAGAAGCTCTGAAGCCAGGGGACAGGGACAGCTGGACTCCAGGCCTGCATCCACCTGGTGCAGCCATGGAGCAAATGCATCTTCCTATGTTTCAGGGAGCCGCATGCTGGCAGAGGAGCTGAGTGAAGTGGGGTGGGACAGTTCTGCAAGGCTCAGGGTGCTGGAGCCCAAGAACTGATGCACACCAGGTTTCCCTGAGAAATCTTTCCTGTGCCTGGGGCACCAAACACTCTCTATCCCCCTGTCTCACTGAACCCTACCTCCAGCACTCACAGCTACATTCTTGGGGACAAGAGCCCTGAGCCCAGAATAGGGGGGTCTATCCACCACACCTAGGGCCAAGCCCTGAGTGAGAACCCCCCTTGGGGAAGCTGCATTCCCCCCGCTTACCTTTGGCAGTGCTGAGCTTGCAGGTGTAGATTCCGCTGTCGTCTTCATGCACAGAGGTGAGCAGCAGCTTGCACTTGCGCCCATCAAAATGCATCTTGCATTTGAGCAGGGCAGGCTGGAGCAGCCGGCCCCGGGACAGCCAGTCTACGTCCATGTCTGGCGGGCCGGCCACCATGCACTCAAAGACCGCCAGCTCCCCCGCCCCGACCACCAAGTCCTGCAGGGGAACCACGATGGCCAGGGACTGGCACTCGGGGCGAGCTGCCCGGGGAGGGGGGAGAGAGAGAGAGAAAGAGAGAGACGCATCTCAGCAACTGAAAAGCAACCATGAGAGGTAGCAGGGATGGAGTGGGAGTACATGCAGGGCAGTGGTTCATGCAGGGAGGGGGCCTGGTGCAGCGGGCAGGGAGTGCAGCAGGGAAGGGTGGGATGGGAGGCGAGATGTGGAAAGCAGAGCTGAGCCAGGGAGGGGGCTGGGGGTGAGGGGAGGTGTCCGTGCCAGGAACACACCACACAGCGCTTTACCAAACAGATTTTATTAGAGCTACAAAAAAAATAGGGT